TCTCTCTCTCTCTCTCTCTCTCTCTCTCTCTCTCTCTCTCTCTCTCTCAATCTCTCTCTCTCTCTCCCCCTGACAATCCTTATTCTGTTTTTAAGGTCTAATTCAAATGTAAGACTTTTAAGACTTTTTTGCCAACCTGAGGAACAAATTCTACTCTTGACAACATACGCTCATCATTTGTTTAGGCCCTAGCTGTTTGTGCATGCCTCTGTTTCCACCATAAAGCCTATGCATTCCTTTAAAGCAGCGACCACCGCTTCTTCATTTTTGTATCTACATCATCTGACACTCTGGGAGATAGTCAATAAATAGCACATTGTCACTTATCTTTGTGTTATACATTTTACACACATATATATGACTGGATTTGGCCTTTTGGTCATTACCACTTTTGAAAAAGAGTCTATTTCTTAGGTTCTCCTGAGCTTGAGTTAATAAGAGGAAAATGTTGACTTAATTCGTAAAAATATCATATGTAACTTTTGGCGGGATGCATTAAGGGATATTATCTCAGCCAGCCTTCTTTATCACTAGTCGGCCTCTTAACTACAGATGGGTCTAATTGTTCCTTAAATATATTTAATGTATATGCGTCCACAATATTGCCCACTAGCCTTTTAGCACTTCTGTTGGTAGTTCTCTTACCCCAAATTTATCGATTTTACTATAAATTCGTATTACTCTTTAACACAGAAAAATATAAAAATTAGTAGTTTGTTCATGACAGACATAAAGTGCCAAGTTCAAATATTTGCTTTTTCAAAAAGAAAGAGAATGAGCTAAATACTATAGCATAGAAACAAAATTCAAGTTGGTGACCAGAATAGCCATTATAAAATAATGGAAACATATCCATTGGGGGATTTTTACCAAAGCTCCTTCCTGTCTGGGCAAAATGTTTCGTTATGTGTTCCATTGTGCCAAGGACAGACTGATCATTTCCAGACACTTACCCTCTGACAGCATGAATAAGTCTCAATGATGGATAGGCAGTTCGCACTTTCAGTTTATTCTTAAGGATCAATGCATTAACCCACTCCACGTGTTTCTCTCCTCCTTTGACCATGAAAGCAGGGATCCAAAGGACACTATCATTCAGCATGGAAAGTCTATGCACAAATTTTTCTCTGTCACTCTCATTCCGAAAGCCTCCAAATGCTCTTTGCACAACTGATGGGTTCATGGTGATAAAGTCTGATTTCGTCCCCACGTCAGCAGCGAACTCTACCACGGGAGCAAGGTTACACCTGAAGGGGAAAAAATTAAAGAGTAACTATGAAACATTCCCTCCTAAGATGGTGTGGATGGAAAGAAGAACGATGAACAAGCATGTTGGTTTTCTTGTTTTGTTTTTTCAACCAGGTGGAAAAAGAAAAGATAATCTGGTAAGATTACATTTTTCAATAAGTCATCACCCATCCAGGAATATTGTCTTCAATAAAGATGTGCACCCCTAGTACAGGGCTCAGATTATCATTTGTATTAATTCAACCTGTTGTCTAAGAATAGTCTTTGCTGTTATCTTCATAAAACTACGAGATATGAATTCCTAGGTGAACTTCTGCCTGTTGCCATGCAGCAGGATGACCTATAAGTAAGTAAAACACAAGACCTGATATTCCAGCTGGCACCACTTGTCAAGCTGAAGTCACTTCAATATCTTTCTAAACATAAGTGTAGATGGATTTTCTGTATCCTGAGGTTAAGGGAAACCTGTAATTCCTTATAGCATTTTCCACAAACATATTTATAATTGTCTTCTAGAGGCCTCAATGGCAAATAAAAGTCAGAAAAATGAAGTTACTTAATAAGCCTTTTTGAGGTGTTAAACAATGCAGAAAAGCCCTTATTACAGGGTCAAATATCTTTCTGTTCCTTTTGAGGACATCCTCAAGATGCTTGTTTTCCCTGCTAACAGTCCACAAGCCCTCTGTGCAGGAGGGTCAGAATTGGTGTCCTGTTCTCACCACTGAAGCTCCAGGACCTCGCAAAGTGCCTGGGCCCCGTTTCGTTCCTGTATTGCAAGAAAGCTTAGAAAAGCACCTTGAATTTTGTCTTCAGCCAAAATGTGATGCTTCTTCAACTCTGTCATGTAAATCTTTGGATACTTAAAAAATAGCCTTTTAATTTTAAAATATTTTAACTTGATAAAAAGGCAACTTTTAATTAGTTGTTAGGGAAAAATTAGAAATTTAGCAAACAAGAGTGCTAACTTGGAATTAAAAGTCATTTGAATTTATGCAATCTACACCTTCATAAAAATGCACACACACACACACACACAGATTTCGTCTTCTTTGTTTTTTCTTTTTTTATATCAGCCTTTTAGCGGGAGGAAAAATAAGCTGATTTCTTCTTTCTGCATCTTTCAGGTTTGCTGCAGTATAAAAGCTTCTCACATTTCTCTTCCTTGTGCATTCTGCCACATTAATTAAAATCTCAGACAAGTTAAATTTAATTAAAAAATAGAGTGCGTGCTCTGCTATTAAAAATCCTGGCTTGTATATCCTTCTTTATCTCTCTTAATTAATACGTCTTATTACTTCTTAGATCTCTAAAAACATTTAATACCACAACAAATATCTTTCATCTCACACAATTAAGTAAAGTCTGTGTTATCTACAGCGAGCTACTGAGAGCAAACAAATAAAAATTAACATATATTATTTGGAAAATCTCTTTTCAAGTTATGTATACTTAATTACCCCCACTATAGTATATGAGAGTATTTTTTTGTCTCTATCCATGATCCATGCACTATTTCAGAGTAGATATTATTCACTTCCATCACAGAATATTACCAACAGGGTTGCCCTGGAAGGGAATGGCTACATGCGAACAGAAGCCCAAGTGAACATTTTACAGTGGAATTCATGGAAGATTGAAGATGTGATAATTTTTGAAGTCCTAAAATGCACTCCACACCAGCTTTAAAAACAGTGTAAAATTGTAACCAAGCTGATGATAAGATGTATTTAGACACTGTGGGGAAAATACATTCTGAATATCTTTCTGACACACACTTCTCCTTCCTCAGGTAAAAAATAGACAACACTTGTTAACATTACAGTTATCATGTTTTTGACAGGGGAGATAGCTTCAGATATATCATTCTGCTATAATAATTCCTCAGCAATTCTTTTCAGAGGGTTTCCACTACAGAAAAACAATACCAACACTCCATTTTCTCTCTGCTTGTAAAAATAATCCGAGCTAACCCAGTTAAAGAAAACACAAATAACATTCTACTGAATTATCTTTGTAGGAAAAGAAATCACTTAATTGCTTTATGCTTTTCATTACTTTTTCTTATCACATAATGAAAAGCTCCTCCACCCTCAGCGTGCTAACATCCACACTTTTAGGATTGACTCAGCATGTTTCTGAAACATGCTTGTCTGGCCACGTGACATTTAAGAGCTAAAAAGACGCTCATCAATAAAGTTGGGTAATGAAAGACAGGTACTTTCCACCTTGGAAGTAAAAGGAAACTAACAGAGAAAGAATATTTCTGGAGAATAGGGTTGACCTAGAAGACAAACCAACAGAATAGATGCACTCAAAGAATGCTAAATGACTGTGGTGCTAACTAACTAAAGGGAAGTAAAATATCAAAGAGTAATTAATCCACATGAGCTTTATTGCACAGTGTTTATGACCTGAGCATAGCCAACCTGGCTTTGGGAGGGATGGAAATAGTGGTACTGAAAATAGCATGACAGAAGGACACCTTATAAAATATAAGGCTCCGGGAGTCTGACTTGTTCATTTTCCTTGTAGTAACTATGTCTAATTTTTTTATTGGAAGGAAAAATTAACATCATGTCCACATGTGGCCAGTAAATTAATTGCTCTTGGTTGAGTCAGATATTTAGTCATATAATTAGCTGAACACCGCATAATCAGGGCAAGCATTAAGAAAGCCAAAATAACCGGCCAGCTGTGCTGAACTCCCGCAATCCTGTAGACTTCTGAATTTCATAGCGATATTAGTAAGACTACTGCTGACTGAGCAAGATTTTGAATAGATTTGCAATTACACATTCTTAATCGTTTTTTCTTTAAATCTTCTTTGGGATTAAATATTCAAAAGCACACAGAATATGTAGCAAGTATTTATGAAGTAATACATTATTTCATACATTATTCTTAATCTCATAAAATTAAAGAGTGGCCAATGTTTAATTGTTTTGTTTTGAGTCAAAACTATTGAGTGCATAAGAATATTTCACACATCTAAGTTCTATTTCTTTAGCTAAATTAAATTCTTTGTACTGTCCAACTATTTTTCACATATTAAAAACCTGAAAACATATACACAGAATTAGGTATGTTGGCCAAACTCCTTGTTTATTCTAAGCTGCCAAATTTCCCATTTATTTGTGTTTATGTTCCATCATTGGTGAAAAATCTGCAGAAATACAGCTAGATCCTCTTGCTCTTTAGACCTCCATAATTTCTCCTGTGATCTCACACCGGATAAGATTGCCTTTATGCATTCCTTTCACACAGAATTGAAGGTACTTTCATTTATTTCAAGGCTATATAATTAAAAAAAAACCTTTTTAACATTAATTCTTTTATTTTTTTAGGAAAGAAATGCTTATTTCATGTATAACACCTCAAGATCACAGAATTACCTAGGAAGACATAGCTTTTAGATTTTTCAGTATTCTCTACATTTCCCTGGAGTTATAGCTCAGCAGTCTAAGTAACTAGGAGGTTCCTCTTTCAGTAACTCAACAGATTTATCTTGAGAGCTCATTGGTATAAATACTAAATTACATGCACAGAGCTTTTTGTCCAGCTATTTTACTATTTGTGCTACTTTACAATGATGTCATCTGGCCAAAATCTAATCTTGACAGTTAGTATTAGTAAGATCAGTAAGATAATGCTCATTCATTTAGCCGTATGTTTATTCACCCCATGGTGCATGTTGAACATTTGTGTTAGCTACAGGACTAGTCAGTTGTCTATGATATAGAGGTAAAACAGTGTGTACTGTGATATAGGAGGTTGTTAATTACTTCTTTACACATAAAACATAGATTAAGAGAGAAGAAAACAATACCGAGTGATCTACAGACTAAACTCTTCTTTCTCACCATTAACTAATGTTCAGAAAAGTTCCAAACACATGATTACCATCCCTTTCCTCCTTTGGCCAATCCCACTGTGTGCTTCTCTGTATTAGCATTGAAACCCCTCAGCCCAAACCGTCGTTATCAATGGAATCACATTTGTTAACCAATCGTAGAAAGGGTGATAGCCTCTTCTCTTACTGCCCCAGAGGAAGCTTGTGGTTCCTATCTGCTCTCATCCTGCTTTTGAGCTTGAAGAACCAAGAGAACAAAGAATCTCTGATACCTGGGTGTTTTAGGTTTTGTGGTTACCCTCTCAAAATTGCTAGGGGAAGCAGAAACATGCAATCTATCTCTCTCTGACTTACTTGAGGTGAGGGTTGTAGGCCCCAAACAAACTGGAAACCAATAATTTTGCAACGCTCTGAGGTAAACAGTAGTGTTACCTCCAATTTAGAGATGAGGAACTAAGGTGAACATGGTTAAGAAACATGCCCAAGGACATAGTGCATACAAAAGAAAAGCACGGCACTTTACAATGACTCCAGGACAAAAGTTTTTAATTGACACTATTTACACATGTGGCTTATTTCAGAATCAGAGGAAAATGTCTGTGTTCATCCTTCACCCCAACCTTCTTGGAGGAGAAAGGGTACTTTACCAGTTAGCCTTAGGTTTTGGTCTCAGACTCCCAGAACTGAAGTGTATTATATAAGGCCACTCAGCCATGACATTCCCCAAATCCTGAGCAGTTATTAAAAAAAGGGTTTTAAGAATATTAAATATGAAAATAATATCTACACATCAGATGTCTTGAGGGAAAGGGTTTTCAAAATGCTGATAAAAGGATTAGCTGTCTAATTGATGTGACTTTTTGAAATATGAAGCATAGGATTAACAGTTGATTTATATGTGGTATACCATTATGTAGTAAATGAAGTGTAAGGAATAGAGATGAAACACTATTGAAGATTTGCATTTTCAGTATGATGGGTGGATACAAAAATACATACATCACATTTTATGCTTGCTAATAAGATAACAAGAAAATCATAATCGTGATAGAAATAAATACTAATGACACATACCATGAAAATAACTGACTAAACAGAAGAGGGAGTTTTTCACAAACCCAGATTTGTTTACGTTACTGGCAAAGTTAC